GAATAAAGAAAGTGCGCATTCCCTTTTCAAGACTGAAGACATAGGGAACGACGAACCAAATCTTTGCCTTGCATGCGATAACAGTGAGTCTCCTGGAAACCCCAAGGATGGAGCAACTGACGAAGTGCGATGAGATAGTTCCCCACATAGCTGCGTTCAAAGTATCCTACTACATCTAATTTGCTGTCTGTTGTCTGTCCGGAAATTCAAGTCTGCTTTAAAAGCTGATAAGATACGGTAAGAGGCTGTAGAAGGGGGTTGTTCTTTACTATGAGGGTCGCAGCAACTGATATAGAGGGTGAGACGGGAACACTATTGATGGCTGACAGAACGTTATCACACCTGATGAAATCCGATAAGAAGCTACAGAGTCGCAAAATTCACAGCGAGGGCGCAGTACCAGCGAGGCGTTGATTTCAGCAAGTGATAGAGAGGTTGAGATGGAGACATCAACAGTGTGTGACAAAATCGATAATAACTGATAGGGGCTGATAAGGGACGTCTTTGTCGTCGTCGTTAGGGGTGGGGCTTTTACATCACCATATCATGAAGATTAAGTGATAGAGACACTGTTGACGGGTGACAAGTGATGATGTCGGTTGATAAGAATAGATAGAGTCATCTTCACTGCATTTCGTTCTATAGAGTCATCTTCACTGCATTTCGTTCTACTTCTTACCATTATTCTGTCAAGTATTATGGGCCCGGTGTGTAAACTCTTTCCTTGAGCCATCGCGATATCAACTCAAATTGATAATCATCCATCGAACTAGTGGAGGAGGGGGGCAACAAAGCTCTGTGACCATTGGCTAGGTTGCGCATTCCAGCTCGGCTAAAGGATAGCCCAGCGAAGTCAGCCGTGTCGTGACATGGCATGGAAGAAGGAGCGTTCGGCGACAGCTCAGCGATCCGACTGGTATAGACATGAGTACAAGTGTGTGTTGTGGCGCAGATATGATGCGGCACCCCATACAAGTTAAGATGTAAGTCGCAATTCTCATTGTGACTCGAGAATAAGTTTTATCAGTGTCAAGGTTAACAGTGTCAAAAAAGTGTGGCTTTTTGAGGAACCCTGGAGTTCCAAGGAAACTATATAGAAGATTTTTTTCTTAAAAATCTCCCATATTTGAGGTAAGAGTTCAGAACATCATAGCTCTTGGTTGTGTTAATTCTTCCCAAACAGATGATATTCGTACTCCCGCGGATGTCTCGTGTATCATGGACCTACTCCTCACTAGGGATACAAGCCAGTGCAAGGCTGTGACGCGGCCGTTCGCTGTCGGAAAATGTTTTTATGGCATTTAAGTTCTTCTGCGTAAATCTACATCCGGAAAAAATGACGGGGGAGTTTCTCGGGTTCATCTTGTCTGGTTCGTTGTGGGACCACGCGTCCCTTTGACATAACCGTCCCCACGCTCGAGCAATTCGAACGCATCCTTCCTTGTACAGATACCAGATCAGCTTCTACTCAACTTTTTTACTCGCTGTTAATGGTATTAGCACTGGCGACGCAAAGGAACGTTCAGTGAGCAGAGGCATCAAGATATCGCTGACATAGAATGAGCATGTCTGGGTAACTCGTCAAGCAACTCGTCAAGAGAGGCTGCCAGGTCTTCACTTAGGGTGTTCTTCAGGTTTTTTTTTACATTTTTCTTATCTGTAGAGTCATTCAGATTGTGTTCGTACTTTGTGGTAGCGTCCACCAGCATATGCGAACGCCAGCGCCTGCTAAAGTATAGATATCGGTCTAGCGAAGTGGTGCAGTCCGCTTCTCCACGTGCTGTCACTGGGAACTGCCCGCTCCTGCGTGGCTGAGCTAGCCGCCGAAATTCGAAACGCAGGTGACAGGCTTTCGTGGCGGGCCGACCTACGATCGCCATGTCACATCTTGCATGCTTAACTGTACCATTGTATACTAAATGGTACGGCGTCCGTGGAAGCCGACGCGCAGTCGCAAAGCCTGATGAGCGGGGAAAGTATATGAGGGTTTGCGATGCAAGGGCGGCATCGGGGAGCGACTAAGCTAATCCAAAAGTCGTGCAGCGTGAGCAAATTTTGCGTGACAACGTTAAATGTTGTTTGACGGGACGCTCGTATGAGTCAGCGGAGGCTTTGGGCACAGAAGAATGGATCCCTGCGCTGGCCAAGAGACAAGTTGGTTCAGTTGCAAGTCGAGGGACACTGGTCACGGCTTCGAAGCCACGAGTTGCAAATCGAGTAAAATTGTGGCCACGGCTTCGAAACCAGTCGATGAGGCAAACCCAGGACCACCAGGGCGTAGCTGTCTCTCGCTGTTTCCGTGACTCAAGCGTAGAACGTTTCGATGACCGCTTGATGAAGATTGTAGTCGCTGGTGGCAAGGCCTGTACCACTTCTTCTCTGCGTATGCTCCGCAAACTGGGTGCAGCGAGCGATACAAGGACGAGTTCTGGTTCTGCTTAAAGGCAGAGATGATGAGCACGCCGATCACCGAATTGCTCGCTAATGTTGCGCCACTGAGAACTGCGCCTTACATGATGTCCTTTCCAAAGAAAAGCGCTCTCTAAGCATCCTAGCAGTCTGCTCAGAGACCGCTTTTCGTCCTCAACTTGTAATTCGTTTCAACAGTTAGCCTCTTTAAATTTTCGTCATAAGTTATTAAATGTAACCAAGGCTACTAGCATTTTTTTGTAGGAATCATGTGATGTTTACTGCTATTCTTCTTATTATCTTACCAGTCAGCTCGCCAGCGTGCTTCCTTCTGATACGGCCCGGCTGCGCCGGGCAAGCGCGGCTTCGCCGCGCGTACCTTCTTTCACATATTTCTAGACTCAACTGATATCAGGCTTTTGTTCTGTACTCATGGTTAAAGCTTCTCGACAAATACATCATCCCTGCTATTTTGACTATTACTGAGTATGGAGTGGTACTAAAGTGCGTCGATTATGGGCACAGGCGAGAGAATAGCTGGGGAAGGAATGTGTGGCGAAGCCGTGCCCGTCCGGCCAACTTGGGCCGTATCACAGGAGGAGCGCTGGCATCAGCCGCCGAGCCGACTGGAATCTAATACCTATGACGACCGGTGGTTAAGAGTATGGCAGAATACGCGCTAAAACTCAGTAAGAATAAGTACGTCGTGCGCTCCCCACTGGGAGCGGGTTACAACACCACAGACACACTCAACTCTTGCCATATATCCAACAGTTGAGGTCCTGCACATCTCTGCTTACATGTTGACGGTGTCTGGACCGCTCTGAAACCGTTTTGCAGATTTTTTTGTCTGGCTCCGCCACCTCGGGCTGGCCCCGTCCACAACATTTATGCCCCACATTTCTCAATGGGCGACCAACTCAATTTGTTCCGGTCTTTGAAGTGCTCTGGGACCGTTTTACAGAATTTTTGTCTGGCTCCGCCCACCTCGGAGCAGGCCCCGCCCGCAATGTTTGTGCCCCACAATCCTCACCGGCGACCCTCTGCTGACCATTAATCCACTTTTTCCGGTGTCTGGAGTGTTCACATTTTGCAGATCCTTTGTCTGGCTCCGCCCACCTCGGAGCAGGCCCCGCCCACAATGTTTGTGCCCCACAATCCTCAATCGGCCCAGCCCTCGCTGACCTTGATCCTCTTTTTTCCGGTTTCTGGAGTGTTCTGGAACTGAGCTACAAACTTTTAAAATGAGTATCCTGCGATTAGGGCAAGCTCCGCCCACTGTGGGCGGGTCTCAACACACTTTGAGCGTGCCCAACACTCGCCAGATATTTACATTCTACACTGAGTTTTTTGCGACTTCCAAACACTCTCGCGAACCGGGTTACTGAGTTTTGTGAGAAGCACCGCCCACCTTAAAGACACATGGTACGCTCAACACATTGAGGGTGTATGAGACTATCAGCCCCCCAGCTGTCGATGTGTCGTGGTCCCCCCGCCCAAAACTGCACGGGGTCAGAGTACGGGGCCGTGGGAAAGTCGTAATTCCTTGCTACACCGCCCTCACGTTTATGCTAACACCATCCGCGCGGCGCGGTCGCGTGCAGCTCTCTTGGCTTTTTGCCAAGTCCTGTAATTGCGCTTTGGAATACAAGTACAACGCACAGAACATGACATAAAACATGACAATACAGGCA